TGACATCTACCCTAATTTAATGCGTGACTCCAGATGCAGCCATACAACGACCAGTTATAAATGAGGATATAAGCTTTATTATACCCGTGAACAATTAAAATTTTTGGGTTTGAAAATAATAATTTAAAAGTTGATATGGTGTAAAAAAGCACTAATTTAACTACAAGCTAGTGCTAGTTTATATATTTGTGCCAGGTACGTGGCCCATGACATTGAATGTTTTTTTTGTATGCAAATTGAATGATGCTAATATACAGAAACTATATGACATGTTTATGTGACTGCCAACAATAAATATAATAGCACCATCAACCAGGTCCAGTCAATATATGTAGCTGTGAACCTTAATGTCACATCCATTAATGGATCAGTTTTAACAATAAATGATGTCACATCCATTAATGGATCAGTTTTAACAATAAATGATGTCCTAGAAGTACTTAATATATGGAAGCTCAGTTGTCATGACTTTTGAAGACTAAAAACTGTTTGTAAACTCTACTGACAGGTCATTAATAACCCAACCCAAGGCTTACATACATATATGATTCTAGTGTGAAGTAAATGCAATTCAAAATACAGAATAATTCTGTTCCAAATAATTTTATGAAAAGGGGACAAACTTCTTTACATAATTTTCCCAAAATGTCTATTAAAATTTAAATATTGATCTATTTACTTACTCAATAAATTTCTATAAAAATTTGTTGATAAAATTGATTTTCCATTAAATTCTAAAAACTTAAGAACTTTTCGTTGAACTCCCTCCTCCCCAAAAACCCAAATGGATTTCATTTCTGGATTTAATGCAACAATTATGTAAAAGTAGATGTTGAAGTCGTGTACAAATCACCATAGTAACAATAGGGGATTTCCAGTTAATGCAAGATCTCTTGTAATGCACGAAAGACATCTGTCGCAAAAATTGATTTGATTTTAAACCTGAATTTCTGTTTTTTATAGTTCAGTGTTGGATTGCTAATCTTTCATAGAAGATGGCATTGAGATAATATCATTAATATTTTATCAAAATTAATCAAATGTGTATAGCACATTATTAATCATGGAAATACCAGTACTGTTTTGTTTTTACATTCGATTTCATGCATAATGCATGATCTTGCAGTGATTGGAAAATGGTCTATTGCATTGGAAAGATCATAAATATATAAAATATCTTCACTGATTCAGTTTTCATAAAAAATAATTGCTTTAATTTATGCTATACATTGTACCGTAGATTTACCCAATTCAGATTTGTGTATTTTCTGATTAATATACAGCTCTCTACACGTATAAATTAGATAAAGTCGTGTGGGTTTACATCACTGCACAACATAGCCAATACAAATGAGAAAAAAAAACAGCATCACAAAGTTCAATTCAGTATTTCTTGCAATATAAAGATATAAAAAAAATGATTAGTTATCGTTTTTGTTAATATTTCTTTGATATGAATGGAACTATTGTATTATTAGTGTCTTTATTTAAAGTTTATTTGTGTCAATAGTACAGTAGCACTTACTGTGACATGTATAGCACATATATTTATTTTGTTTTGCACGCCGAAATATCATTTTACGTATAATAGTATTGAATAATTACTTTGTTTTGATAACTGCCGTGGTACGCCTATGAGTCATGCATAACAAACAACATCTGTAGCCAGTTTAAATGTAGGATATTGGGTCAATGTACTAATCAAACTCGCTAATGAATTCTGTACGTACTGTACTTTTTACTCTCTGTAGCCATATTTTACGAATAATTCCATTCTCAAATATCTATTAATATTAATATATGTATTCAGCATGACCCTCCTCCCTTTGAGAAGTAGCAACACTTTCAATTTCCCAGTATATATGTTTTCTAGTTGTTCACTTTAGCCTCGATAGAAATGAGAAATGTACGCTGCAATATATCAATGTTTCCCAAATGGAATTATTTTTAATAATTTCTTTGTTAAATTTGAGTAAAATATTCGTTATTTCCCTTTGTCTACAACTTTTTGCAATGGTTTTGAAAAAAAAACACAAAAAACCTCAAAAATGACAAAAGTTGGCATTGACATCCAAAGAGTTGATTAAAACTCTTTGAGTGAACAAATTATCATTGACCTTTCAAAGTAGTATGTGATCATGACAAATCTCTAATTAATACAGGACCTTGCGTTTTTCCTATCTTGGTTTGAAATCTCATTTATAATTTGGGAAATAAAAGGATTGAGTTTTGATTTGGTAACACCTTTTCTTGATTAATTACTTGATAAATAATGGATTAAAACCTTAATGACTGATACTTAACATTTATATAATAGTTAAATACTACTTGTATCACAGTACCTCAATTGCATGTGTTCTACTTCATTTTAAATAATCAAACTTAATATGAGAGCTGTGACTTCTGCGTTTAATGGTAATGCATTATCAACTGATGCTCTAGTGCTGCATGCACTTTAAATCAAACGCCATTATATTATAAAAGTATGTCAAAATATATTTTAATGATCATATATTCACAGAAAATGGAATTTTTGGGTTTATGCTTTTCTAATAGAAAAAATGCATTTGTATCAATAATATTTATAGATATATGAAACAATCTTAAATAAAAATATTATAAATATTATAAGGCAAATATTATTTAATTTAATTACTAGGTATGCATCTTTGAATCATCAAGGATATATGTATCTACCGGTATTATACAAGCAGCTTGAGTGTATAATATTCAGATTTCAGTATTCTTATTTATTTATCATATATTCGTGAAAACTAATCTGAAAATGAGAACCTGTTGTCATAGCAACTGCCTACAAATCACCTTAGGGGTATTAAACTCTGGCCCGAAAGGTCTCTTTTCAATAAAAAGGTATTATACATTTGGCCCTTGTGGAAATAAAAGGAAATCAACGTCAGGTGAAAATCTGTATTTGATAGTGTTTGAAGTCTGGTGTTTGAAATCCGACAGTGTTTCATATGTCCTTATTTGGATATACCTTTATCAGTAGGAGTGATTGCTCACTAGATTTATTGACACCAACGTGTATGTCCTGGAAATACGTTTTTTACAATTATCATCAAGTGAGAACAAAAAAGTACATTTAAAAAAAAAATTCTAAAAACCAATTCGTACTACCGTAGTTCATAGCTGTGGTACGTACTATGCATCATTGTGCAAACATTTTTTTATTCATGATGCAGCATTGTAGAATATATCACAGACATACAACTACACATTCAATAAATATCAGCAAAATAATATTATTCAGTTCATATAAAAAATTATAAAAAATTAAATGTATCATGTATAAAAAAGTTGTGCATTGTGCGATTGATTGATTGATTGATTATGGGTGATTTTAGATGTTCTTAATAATTCTACAACAAATTTTTCAGATTATTGAGACCTGGAATTATGAATAATTAGGAGCGCTTCTGGTTTTCTTAAATTCAACATGGTCACCAAACCATTTAGTCAATCATTATGGATTTTGAGGGAGGAGTAGATGTTGTGAGTACCTAGATCAACGGATGGAGCAGTTGCTGATAAATTGATTTTAAAGCCATTTTTCGATATTTAATATGGCAAAACAATGTGACCAAGTTGAATATTTATTTTTTTTTTTATAAAAAGGTATCTTTAGTTCCTGTTTGTCATTGACAGTCTTATTTTAGTTATTTTGAGAAAGATTATGACTGCTCACTTGGTTATTTGATCTGAACGCAAACTACTCAATGTGTGTTTGTTTTTGACTATATTTACACATGAAATATTTCCATGTCTTTACAAGAGTAGGTTTTTTATCTCACTTAAGTCTTACTTTTGTTTTCACGTATTTGATGTGGAGTAGCTGACTAAAGTACATGTTTAAACAAGTCAAACCCATTTATTATATATTGGTCTTTTTGAAGCGATTGTTAAAGATCAATATGGATAACTTCATAACTGGTATTTGTTAAATTTTCTTGTATACATATTGAATTATTATTTGTGACAAAGTAAAAAAAAAATTGTTTCGGTGGAGAATGAATTATTTTTCATTTGACTAAAATAATGAACAAGAACATATTGCTTTTTGTTTGTACCTTCATCTATGCTTGCTCTACTAATAACAATGCGGGCATACACTTAATTTTATGTCTCGTATAAAAAGTACAGAAACTTTTTTGGATATATACCAGTTGATGTACATGTATGTATGTATTCATTAGTTTATGATGTTCATTTCACATAGATAACATACCCCCCAAACCCCCACCGCACCCACCCGCCGCCGCTGCAGAAAATAAAAAAAAACAACAACAAAAAAACAATTATTTCAGCACACATTTTTATGGTTGATTGATTGCCATACTGAATTATATTCTAATTAGCGGCTTCATATTTGTTTAGACATAATAAGACATTAGTCTGGTAATGTTGTTCAGTGATCCCCAGCAGATCGGGCTTGCATATATTTTAAATGCTATGCAAGTATACTACAATTATCACTACATTTTGTTGACATAATGTCGTAAATCATTCATAGCGTTTTGTAGCCGTTGAAGGACGGTCAGACTGTTGAGACGTTTCAATGATGTCAAATGTATAATAACCAGTGTGTGAAGGACTTAAATCGTGTAATTTGACAAGCATCGTAGCTTTCATTTCTGTTCATATAAATGGATCTGTCAATGTTTTATAATTGGTATTGTGCGAGAGATGATGGGAAATTAATGCTGATACACAATGATTGTGTTGCTCGTCACTTATTGTCACTTATAGTTAAAGGGCGGCAGTCGTCGTGCCGCGTCTAGTTCGATATGGGACTCATAACGACATATACAACGCTTGTAAAATACATTGTTTATTTACATGAAATTCAAACATGCGCTGTGCGACGACCACCGCGCTTTAATGCTAATGATATCAAAAAAACTTATCATAGATATTGTATTCACCTTCAATTGTCAGTCACTGCAGTAAAAAATAATAATTTTTCGTTACTTTTTTTTTAGGTTTTTGCATCAACAAATATAATTGAAAATGGATCGCAGTAGACGTTATCAGGACAGAGAAGTACAGTGTCGCGTCACCGACAGTCCCAGTGCGATGGCGGCACTTCATCAGAAACAACATCACAGGGAAGAAGGCGATAAAACACCACCAGCAAAACATTACTTATCATGTAAGTTACTGTTCATTGAGCTATCATCATCGTATCTGTATTGATAAATTAATTGACTGAAACCTAAAAAATTACATTTATGTATCATAATCATCACAGCTAGAGTCTTTATTATATCAAATGACCCTGAGTTTATAGTCTTCTCTTCAAATCTTATTTCAAATTGTCATGACAACAGCTTAAAATTCAACTGTACATGTTTGTGGCAGTGTTGAACAGAATAGCAGGGTTTATTATCTTCTTGAAACTTTGGAATGCCAAATTTATAATAATAAATTTTTTTCATACTTGTTATCCAATTACAATTTACCAGAATTAATGTGAGTAATGCTACAGAAACTTATAAAATGAGTAAAGGAACACAATTGTGGCACTTGAATGAATTAAGACTTGTTACTGAAATGATGTGTGTACATGTAAATTCCATACCACAAGTATTATCAAACATATTTGCTTGGTCTGATCTTACCATTGAAATACTAGGAAGAACAGTGTGTGGTTAATATAACCAAGGCTAACTCAACTATGGTCTGCTGTATTTTTTTTAATTGAGACCCGATCAACTAATGTCAGTCAAGATTTCACTGTCTGATGTCTCTGACCGTAGTCAGATCTCCTCTGACCTTTGGCAACCATGTCAAATATTCTCATGGTTGGAGACACCAAATGACAATTTTTTCTAACCATGATCAACCTTCGTCAAAAAGATTCAACTGTTATTTATTTGCATTCTGGTCCACTGGATTTGATGGTCGACCATGATATCCATGGTCAACCATCAAATACCATGGCGACCATGGTCAAGCACGGTTGACCATGGTCATCATTTCAACTGGAAATGGTAATGCTTGAAAGCCGGGGTATATTTGAACGTTATCATTTTTATTTCCTGCATGTTGATTCAGTATATGAATAAAATTGAGGGTACATATGCACTAGCATTGTATCGCCATTCATTGACAGTTCAACTGCAGTCTCCTCTAGGACTGTGCTGGAAATCATTATGTTTCACACGTACGTACCAATTCTGAGATTGACTGATTTATTTCATAGGTTCAGTCTGTGCATTTATCTAGCTTTCAAAAGACCACTGAAACAAATTTATATGAATGAAAAGAAAGGCGAAAAAAATGCTTGTCAAGTCTAATCACTCAATCAAACTTGGCGTCACTGAGTTAACATAATCATCTAGGGACTCCATCAAAGTGGATTGCTTTCTACGTTATTGTATGTATACTGTAGTTCAGTACTGTCTTTCTGCTTTTCTTAATATAAATTACTAAACTATAGAATTGTAAAAAGTTTGGCAATGTGCTCAGATACATGTGTAAGAAGGATGTTTTGAAAATTGATTTTTTAGTTTCGTTGCAGCTTTGCCGATGTTTGCATTAATATGCAAGCTGCACGTTTAACTGAAGCGAGTACAAAAAACATTATTAACACCATGCTGACTTGTGACACTTTTTCACTGATCATTCTGGTTTTCGTTTTTTAATTTGGTTTGTGAACAAGAATGAACAGTAAGGTGATATAATGATGTCTTTCCAAAACAAGGATATTTAAATTGATGATGTCGCTTGCATAGCAAATTATTTTGCATTTGATACAGTCTTCTGGGACTTCAGTTCAAACATCGACCAATTCACGCCTCGTAGGCTTGAGTCATATTTGGTATTCAGTGCCCAATGTTGAATACAAAACTGTGATGCATGCTGGGATTGATGAGTGTCTAGAGTAAGTCGTAACAAAAGACATGTACAATATTGTGATAAATGGATATGATGAGGGTATGCAAGCGTCTGATATATTATTATTATTATTATTATTATTATTATTATTATTATTATTATTATTATTATTATTATTATTATTATTATTATTATTATTATTATTATTATTATTATTATGGTTTTATTTCAGACATAGTCCATATATAAAGAAAAAGATACAAACAAATATGTAATAAA